ACACACACACACACACACACACACAAATTTTTAAATACCATAAGGATTAGATACAACATTATATTCATATCATAGAACAGTGTTCCTAACCAGAGAGTGTAGCTGTGGTTTGAAAGAAAAACGGCCCCCAAAGGGAGTGGCGCTGTTAAGAGATGTGGTCTTGTTGGAGGAAGTGTGTCACTGTGGGGTGGGCTGTGAGGTCTCTTTCACTCAAGCTTCCTCAGTGTGGCAGTCCGTCAACTCCACTCCAGCATGTCTGCCTGCACACTGCCATGCTCCCTGTCATGCTGATAATGGACTGAGCCTCTGAAACTGTAAGCGAGCACCCTCAATTAAATGTTTTCCTTTATAAGAATTGCCGTGGTCATGGTGTCTCTTCACAGCAATAGAAACCCCAACTAAGATGGGAGAGAAGAGTGAAAGAGGCTCCCCTGGCCAGGCGGTGGTGGCGCACACCTTTAATCCCAGCATTCAGGAGGCAGAGGCAGGCGGATCTCTGTGAGTTCGAGGCCAGCCTGGTCTACAAGAGCTAGCTCCAGGACAGGCTCCAAAGCTACAAAGAAACCCTATCTTGAAAGACTCCCCCAAAAAGAGGCTCCCCTGTTTTAAAATACTAACACTCAAAACTTCACCTTGCAAATTCAACTATTTGAAAAGAAAACAGTAATGGTGTGGGAGGTCCTTTTGTCTGTGTGTTGCTTTTCTTGGTTAATGAATAAAGAAACTTCCTTGGTCTATTGATAGGGCAGAACTTAGGTAGGCAGGGAAGACAGAACTGAATGCTAGGAGAAAGAAGGGCAGAGTCAGAAGTTGCCATGGAGCTGCCGCCAGAGTAAAACATGCCGAATCTTTGCCAGTAAGCCATTGCCACATGGCGATACACAGATTAATAGAAATGGGTTAAATTAATATAACAGTTAGCCAATAAGAAGCTAGAGCTAATGGGCCAAGCAGTGATTTTATGAATACAATTTCTGTGTGGTTACTTTGGGGCTAAATTAGCCAGGCGGCCGGAAACCAACAAGTGGCCCCATGCAACACAATGAGATGACTCACTGAGTAAAACCACTTTCTTCAAAAGCCTGATAGTCTATGTTTAGATCCCCAGAACCCATGTTAAAAGCCCAATTGCAGGGGCTCACATCTTTAATCCCAGCACAGCCACCATGACACAGAAGACAGGAACAGGAAGCCACTGGGAAACACATGGACCAATGAGATAGGAGTCCACACTGCAGCAGCAGAGGGAAGAGAAGTTCTGCCTCAGGGGTGGAAGGAGAGAACTGCCCCCGACAGTTGTCCTCTCACCTCCGCGTGCATACTGTGGCCTGTGCACACACAAGAACATAAAAGGGTTTGGGAGGAAAAAGAACGGTTTCTTGAGGGTTTAATGCGGGCATTTGGAATTTGAGGATCCCTGGAGCTGGGCACACTCCATCACGTTTGTTTGTCCCTTTGTTTACGCACGGGAGGGAAAAATATACAGAGAAGCAAAAAGATAGTTTAGATGTGAGAAGGCAGCCTGCGGCAGGTGTCAGAAGTGCCTCTCTCTGGCATTAACTGAGCGCTGGGCTATGAGCTGAGGAGCATGGGAAGGGCTCTTTGCTAGCCTGCAGACAGTTGAAACATTCGTATGAAGTGCACACAAGGGGAAATAATTAAGAGCCCCTATTTACAAAAGGAGGGGTTCTTAAGATTGTGTGTGTGTGTGTGTCGATGTATGTACGTGCGTGGATGTCATGTGTGTGGGTCTCACTGATGACAGAAGAGAGTGTTGGGTCCTGTAGACTGGCGTTGCAGGCAGTTGCGAGCTACCCAATGTAGGTTCTCAAGACCTGGGAGACCAGCAAACATAATCACTGAGCCACCTCTGCAGCCCTAAAAGTTTTTTTTCCAAACAAATTACTTAAAGGATCAAAAGTAGACCCCAGGTCATAGAACATGAATGTATGGCCGTGCCAATACTCAGAGAAACACAAACTAAAATAACAGTAACTTTGCCCATCTGTCTGGCAAGAGCTGAAGAGTGGCGACTTCTAAGTTGAGGTAGGCCAGACGTCTAGCCTTGACCTAATTCCCGTGTTTGTGTTTGGGAACCTAATCTGTTGAGAAACAGACTGAGCAAGGATACCAGGCTTTCGGTCGCCAGCACAGGAAAGACACACAGATGCCCACATGGCTTTGAATAAACAATATTTTTTAAATGTGTTGGAATTTATAAAGTGAAATTCCTACTCTCGATGGAATTAATTATTAACTAAATATCACAGGAGCTGAAAGTGTCACCAGAGGGGTCTTGTGAATCATCCTTGATGGTACCAAGTCCATGTCTTTGCTGTTAATCCTGAAATTCAGAGAAAAACCAGCTCCACCATTTTGACCAAATAAAAGCAAGCTTTTATTAAAATATTAAATGCTGACCAAGATGGAATTTGGTCAGGACCATCAACCTGGAAAGTTTCCAGGTGAATGGCCCCTGACACGTGTTGGTGGGCTTATATAGACAAAACCCATAGGCCACTGTGCTTTCCCATGAGGCACTGTTATTTGTCAAGAACTACAATTCCCAGAATCCCTGGAAGTAACCGGTTCCTTGGGCAGATGGGCCTTACAATTTAACTTAGGGTCTAACATTGTGTCACAAAGAACTGAGAAAGACACAGGAAAGTAGTGTTAAAAATGTAGTTACTGCAAGTCAACACACAGCAAGGTGTGCTCCACAGAGAAGTGGTCTCAAGCAAGCACATGGCTCAAGCACCCTCTTGTTTTGGGGTCCCATGAGTTTAACTACAAAAGAGAAAAGATGAGGGAGCCATTACGGGGCTCGTAAGAAACCTGGCACTAGAGAAATTCCCAGGAATCCAAGGATGACCCCAGCTAAGACCCTAAGCAATAGTGGAGAAGGTTCCCGAACTGGCCTTGCCCTGTAGTCAGACTGATGACTATCTTAAATGTCACCATAGACCCTTCATCTGACAACTGATGGAAACATTGGCAGAGACCCACAATGGAGCACTGGACTGAACTCCCAAAGTCCAGTTGAAGAGTGGAAGGAGTGAGAATATGAGCAAAGAGATCAAGACTGTGATGGGGGCACTCGTGGAGCTCACAACTCCAGCCAGACAGGGAAGGAACCAGCATAGGACCAAACTAGTCCCTCAGAATGTGAGTGACAGTTGTATGGCTGGGGCAGACTGTGGGCCACTGGCAGTGGCATCAGGATTTATCCCTACTGCTTGTGCTGGCTTTTTAAACCCATTCTCTTTGGATGGATGCTAGATGTGGTAGGGAGGGCTTTGGTCCTTCCTCAAGGCAATGTGCCTTACCCTCTCTGAGGAGTGGATGAGGAGAGGTGGGGTGGGGGAGAAGGTGGAGGGAATGGGAGGAGGGGAGGGAGTAGGAAATGAGAATGGTATGCAAGATGGAAAAAGATTTTTTTTGAGAATAAAATTTTAAAAAAGAAGAAAGAACAGAGAGAGAGAGAGAGAGAGAGAGATTCCCTGAAGAGACGGCCCTTTTCTTGACCGGTGTAGATGACTGGCATCTTTCACTATAGAATGTTCCACTAAGGGTCCTGTCCCATGGTCCTCTGTGCTATACCTTACGTGTCAGCTTTCAAAGGGTTTGGGTCTTCCCAGGGCCATCAATCCTCTCACCTAGATTGCGCATGTGTCTCCAAGGGAATCTTTTCTGGGCTCTATTTCTTAACTGTGGTCAGACTTTTTTTTTGTTTGTTGGAAAAGAGTTGCAAAACACAAGGGATGATCAAAGGCAGCTCCAAGGGGCAGCGCCTGAGGGTTGCTGGATCCGGGAATTAACCTTCCTATGACTCACAGTAGGCAGTGGGACCAGCCTTCCTGCCTGGGGGTGTGGTTAAGTGAGAGAGTGTTCACAGAACATCCTCCAGGCCCCAACTCTGACTCAGGAAGAGCCTGCTCTGTAATATTCTGTGTTTAGGTCGTGAGAGGCAGGAGAGCTGGTGCAGCAGGTTGGAAGCACTTGTTGCCCTTGCAGAGACCCAGGGTTGGTTTCCAGCACCCACGTGATATCTACCCCATCTGTAACCCTAGCTCCAGAGGGCCCAATGCGCTCTTTTGTCCTCCGAAAGCATCGCACGTATCTCTTGCACAGTAATTCATGCAGACAAGATGCCTACAAATAAATACATCTTAAACCAACTAACAAAACTAAAAAACGTTTGGTCGTGGACATTAAATGAGGACAGGTAGAAGACACAGGATCATGAGATCAAGCCCAGCAGGGACTACACAGCAAGACTATTTCAAACAAAATAAACACTACACATGGTGGTAGCTACCTATAATCCCAACTCCTGGAGGCTGAGGTAGGGGGATGCTTCTCACTTCAGGCCAGAGTGGGCTACATAGTAAGATACAATCTCGGCAAACCAGAGAGATAGAGACAGGAAGAAAGAGAACCAGAGCATCATTCAACGCTACTTGTCCCCTAAGCCAGCCTCATACCTACACAAGACTTTAAGCCCATAGAATAAGTTCAGTCAGCAGCCCAGTGTCTCACACCTCAAGGTAACCCGAGTTATTAGGGCTAAAGCCAGGGTTCTGGGAGCTAAGCTTAGTCATTCATTTCAATATTTCAATGGAACAGACATTGCAAGGTGAGAGGCAGAGGAAACTCTTTCATTGTGACCACAAATGAAAGAGACGACAAGACCTGAAGTCTGACTTCAAATACTGACGGACAGTACAGGTGTAGTAGTGGGTAAGGGGTGTGTGTGCTTAAGCAGCCCTGCTCAAGGTGCGGCCCCGCCCACCGCTGTGTCAGGGAGGTGTGAGGACATCTTTATTACCCAAGGTGGTTCCACTGAAGACAGCTTCTGTTCCAGGGTGTGGCCTCTCCAACAAGGACAATTACCTGAGCAGCTCTGTCCAGAAAAGTTCTGCAGTTCTGGGAATCTAAAACGACGGAAGAAAGATGAAGGGAAACAATCTATCTCTGTGCCTTCGGCCAAAGGAAAGAAAACCCGCAAAAAATGAAGACAGACATGGCCGGCTTTCCATGACGCTGGCGGTCCAAGGGAGGACGGAATGGTTTTTCTATTTTTCCTCTTTTAAAAGATTTATTTATTCTTCTCTCAGATATTACATCTCAACCACAGAATTTCCCCGCCTTCCCCTCCTCCACCCCCACCCCAACCTGCTCCCCTTCCCAGACCCTCTCCTTCTCCATCTCCCTTCACAAAAAAGCAGGCCCCATGGATACCAACCTAATGGGGCATATCAAGTTGAATATTTGAAATATTTGAATTTGCACAGCACCACTTGTTGATGATGATTCTTTTTCCAATGTATATTTCTGGCTTCTTTATCAAAAATCAGGTGTTCATAGGTGTGTGGATTTATGTCTGGGACTTCAGTTTGATTAGATTGCTCAACCTGTCTGTTTTTATGCTAATACTGATAGGTTACTAAAGGGTGTGTCCTGAGAGGTTACTCTGTGCATCCAGGGTCACAAAAATCTCATATCTTCTCCCTTTGCAGCTTAGGGTCCTGCCAAGTTGACAGAAGTTAGAGTTACACAGGAAGAGGGAGCCTCACCTGAGAAAATGCCTCCATCAGATTGGACTGTCGGCAAGTGTGTGGGCCATTTGCTTGATTAATCACTGCTATGGGAAGGTGCATCCCACTGAGGGCAGTGATACTCCTGAGCAGGAGTCCTGGGGTGTACAGAAAAGCTAACTGAGCAAGCCATGGGGAGCAAGCTAATAAGCCGTGTTCCTTTGTGGCCTCTGTATCAGCTCCTGCCTCTGGGCTCCTGCCTTGAGTGTCTGCCCTGAATTCACTCAGCAACGGACTAATCTGAACACTGGGTGGATATGAAATATGGAAATATGAATCTGAAAAGCCAGGGATATGAATATGTAAACAGGAGGGTCTCTGGAACGCACTGGCCCACCAGCTGAGTTTCACCATGCCTGGCCCTACATACCTTTAAAAATAAGTAATAGGAGGTTGGGATATGGCTCAGCAGTTAAGAGCACTTGCAGCTCTTGCAGGAGACCCAGGTTCAGTTCCTAAAACCCACGTGGTGGTTCACAACCATTCATAACTGCAGTTTCTAGGGGTCTGACGCCTTCTTCTGACCTCCTCGGACACAAGGAACACACGCGGTACATACAGAGATGCAGGCAAACTAATTACACACAAAATAAGTCTTTTAAAAGAGCCAGATGTGGCGGCACAGGCGTTAATCCCATCAGTAGGGAGGCAGAAACTGTGAGAGCTCAGTAATAGCTCTTACAGTTATTTGTCAAAGAGGGACAGAAGTCAGGGATAAGAGACAAGACGGGACATAGAGGGTGAGGGAGAAGGGGACTGGAACAAGGGAGAGGGGAAGGGACATTTGTCCCAGAGGGACAAAGGACTTCTTGTATAGAGAGGAGACAGATGGGGCACACAGGCAAATGGCACTTCACAAAGGAAAAGGGGACCCCATGTTAGGATGGGGTGTTTTAATTGGACATGTTAGTTAGGTGAGCCAAAGGGGGCTTTTGATTGCTGGATTTCAATACTTTGATAGTTGGACCTTGGTGGTCAACCTCAGGAGGAGGAAGTGGCCAAATAAGGGAACAGACCTTGGGGGCTAGCATGTTTTTTTTTTTTTTGTTTTTTTTGTTTATTTTTGTTTTTGTTTTTAGCAAGACAGAGAGAATGGGGGAGAAGGATCAAGGCTTGCCAGAGTCATGTCTGCCATGTTCAAGCTGACTAGAGTCCCTTCAGATATATCTCTGTGATATGGGAGTGTCATATATCAATCTGTTGATTTCATTGGTTAAGCAATAAACTGCTTGGCCCTGATTGGTTAGAACATAGGTGGGTGGAGTAAACAGAACAAAATGCTGGGAGGAAGAGGAAGTGAGCTCAGACTTCACGCAGCTCCTCTCAGAGCAAGACACACGCTATGAAGCTCCGACCCAGGATGGACGTAGGCTAGAATCTTCCTGGTAAGCGCACCTAGAGGTGCTACACAGATGATAAGAAATGGGATAAATTAAAAAAAAAAAAAGGAAAAGAAATGGGGTAAATTAATATGTGAGAATTAGCCTATAAGAGGCTAGATAGAAATGGGCCAAGCAGTGTTTAAATGAATACAGTTTGTATGTTGTTATTTCGGGGCATAAGCTAGCAGGCGGCCGAGGTGCTGGGGACACAGCCCTGCCGCTCTTATTGCAACATCTCTGTGAGTTCTGGGATAGCCATGGCTACTTAGTCACACTCTGTCTAAAGACAGAGAGTCAGAGAAAATGAAGGAAGCAGCCCCTTTATCTTAGAAACATAAGATTTACATCTTTACTTTGTGATTCAAAATAACAAATAATGGCTTGTTAAATAAACTTTAGTCAGGAAGAACTAGGCATTCAGAATGAGTGTGTTTTAGCATGCATGAACTGCTAGACCCGATCCCTAGCACCCTTTCATCCCCCACAGAGACCATGGGGGAGTGGGCAATGGGACTGAGCTACACTCCGAGCTCTGTATCATGCATGCCAATTCCCTTTATTGTCTAACTGTTTCTTGTCCTCCTTTGTGACCTCTGCTGAAATTACATCTCCCTTGGCTCCTCTGCTTAGCCTTCATTAGCCGACTTTGTCTCCGCTGGTAAGAGTAGGTGAGGTCATGGTGAGGGTTCAGTCTCTGCCAGCAAGGGCAGGTGAGGTTATAGTGGGGGGTCTGTCTCTCTCTGTTCCTGCTTTGGGGACTCCCTGAAACACCATCCTCCCCGTTTCTTGTGACCTAGTGACCCAGGAGCTCCAGGAGAAGATGACAGGATGGCTCATGACCAAAGTCCAACCTTCTCTGGTTTTAACAGTGGCACGGACCAGGAAACTACCACCCAAAACATTGCTTTCAACTATGAATTATGCGCAGGCGCCTGATGACCCCTGTGCCGCTGAAATGGAGAGAAGGCACCGCAAACCATAGGTGATCATGTGTGAAGCTGTCTGATGTGTGAGTATACGCATGAGCTACGCACTGGCCAACTGGTAGGGTCTGTATTTACAAGCCTGGAATTCAGATAGTTCTACAATTAAACCTATGTAAACGTTGGCATGGCCATACTGGGGTAGGCCAGTTGGGCATCAGGATAAAAGAGGACAGACCACATGACAGCTAGAGGCGGGCACACCTCGGCAGCAGGCCCACTCCACGACTGTGGGACTAACACAGCTGGATGAGATAGCACTAATTTCCCTCCGCTACATTATTATGATGTCGCCATCATCAACCCTGAAAACTGGCTGGGCCATCACTGCGCTGCCACCACGCAGTCAAGAACCCACGGAAAGACAGGACTCGGAGCAAACCTCAGGGAGCTGAGCTCCATCTCGTTCTCGAATCCCTACTTTTTCTTCATTTAGCTCTTGAATAATCTTGGTTCCAGGGCCTCTAAGACTCAGAGTGCTGGGCCAAGGCCAGGTGACTGATCTCTCTCCTCTGTGCACCCCCACCCGCCCTCACCCCACATCTTGCTCGCCTTTTTTTTTTTTTTTTTTAAGTTTTTCGAGACAGGGTTTCTCTGTAGCTTTGGAGCCTGTCCTGGCACTAGCTCTTGTAGACCAGGTTGGCCTAGAACTCACAGAGATCCGCCTGCCTCTGCCTCCCAAGTGCTGGGATTAAAGGCGTGCGCCACCACCTCCGGCTGGCTTACCCTTTGAAACTGAAAGGCCCAGAAGTAAAATGTCTTCCTGAGTCCTTACTTTGTGGCCTTGAAATTCTTGCTCTGACCTTAACAAGAACCTGGAAATGTGAGAAGGGGTGTAGTTCCATCACAGAATACTTGGGAGCATGTGTGTGGCCCTGGGTTCAATCCCCAGCATGAGAAAATAAACAGCAGACACCAGGTGTAATGGTTTAAGTAAAATGCTGCAGGTCCCTAAGTGGTGGCAGTGGGCAGCGGGCCATGAGACCACGCCGCGCCGCAGGTCCCCAAGCCGTGGCAGGCAGCAGGCAGTGAGTCCCGAGCCATGAAGGCAGC